ATCTACTTCTTGGTAGGATGGACTCCATTTATTGTCCCAGTCTCAGCTGCCAAAGTGAAACACAGAGTCCAGAGGTGACTTGGTACCAGGTGAGAGTGAATTCCGTGGAACTGGTGTAAGAGCATGGTTTTTCTGGTAACAACTCTTGAAGTGCTTGATAGAAATGTGGGTTTGAGAACCTGAGGTCTACAAGGACCCCAATGCTGACCTTGTACCTGAGCAAGAGACCTGACGATTCTAAAAGGGTCTGGGTCCTATGTAGAAGAGAGCACGACACTGGGATTCTCAGACTCAACCTTTTGATCAGCACCAGGAAAACTTCTAACATGCAAGTATTTCACACATTTGGGTAAGACATAGACCTAAGGGTGTCTGCCGCAGTCCGGCTGCAGAAAAATAACCCGGGGGGTGACGAACAACTTCTGTACGTTGATACAGCAGGAGAGGGAGCCGTGTATTGTAGGACTGGAGCGGTATTTATACATTCCACACCGCTTATCTTAATTAGCATAAACTAGATACAGCAGTCAACCAATAAGGAATCTCCACACTTAAGTGGCTCGCTGGCGTGACTTCACAAACCACTCCCTCTGGCATTTGGCCAGGCGCCATCCAGACTTGTTTGCAGACTCTAACAGGTGTCTAAGTAGAAGACAGGTGAGGTCATTCTGCTTTTTTTGGAAAGCAACGGATATTGCCAGCAATAGGGGCACCCTTCAAGGGCTTGAAGGTTTTTGCAAAAGAAACAAGAAAATGGAATCCTTTTCCTAAGAGGGTGCCTCCAGGAGGACTGTTTGGACAAATCCATGAGAGCCGGCTGGGAGGGCTAAGAGAAAAAAAGGATCGAGGTCAAGTTTCGTGATGATATTGAGTTATGAATTATGTGAGTAAACTTCCATCACCAGAACACTTGACATTTACTTTTTGGCTTATAGTTTCTCCAAGTGCTAACAGATAGGTAAATGCTGCTGAGGCATCTCAGGTAACAGACTCCAATCACACTTCACCCCTGGGGGTGGGTGGGGGTGGGATCTGGGAATAGATCCAAGTTGACTCCTGCAACAACAAGACTTTAGAAATCACACAAAAACATTCATTTGGCTTTACAATATATACGTTTGTGACATAAAGTATGTTTTTAAATATGTTTTCTGGGTGAAGTCAAAGAAGGCAAGTTAGCTACGTTCTGTATCTACCTGGTGATTTTATCCACCACAAAACTCACGAGAGACTCCTGGGGGCACAGCTACAATGGTGAAAGGAGACCTTCCCTCACGTGGTTCTTGGGACTCTGTGATGACGTGTGGACAGGTGTTACTAAATTCATTACAGAAATAAGGCAGACGATGTGGCTTGTGGTATTTTACAATGAGACCAGGAGTGCCGACTGGAGTGAAGTTTTAATTTAAAGAACGTGATAACTTCAAACATGAGGTGGTAAGAAAAGCTGGCGGTTCTCTTCATTATTTTCATTTCTCTCTCAAGAACAAAACTCCCCTGGGCTCCAAATGTTCATAACCTGCCTTGATGGATGACTGGCTGACAAGGTGGGCTGGGCTCAAGCCAGTGAAACAGTCGCGATGCCGATGCCGTAGTCTGATGGAAACGTGTTCGCACGTCCACAATCGTACACCTGGAGTGAACTCCCTTGCTCTTACAGTTGAGCACAAGCCACGCTGTAGTTTCTAGTTCTCTGCACACATTGCACAAGCTAGACCCTAAAACCAGATGACATTTGCAAAAGAAAGCTTTCTTTCACTTCTCTGGCCCATTTTTTTTTTTTTTTTTTTTAGCAGGGGATGATACTGGGAATCGGGCCCTGGGTGCTGAACCACTGAGCCACATCCCCAGCTCTTTTATTTTTTATTTTGAGAACAGGGTCTTGCTGAGTTGCTTAGGACCTCGCTGAGTTGCTGAGGCTGGCCTTGAACTTGTGATCCTCCTACCTCAGCCTCCCGAGCTACTGGGATTACAGGCATGCACCACCACCATGCCCGGCTCTCTGGGGTTTTGACAGCAATTTTCACCATGTATTTTGTGGTGAAAGGCAAACGATGACCATTGTTAGAATTGTGACAGATTTGAACAGGTCTTGGTTCGGTTTATGTTTCATGAGTTGCACATGGGTGTGTAAGCTCAAACACACGCACACGCCTATCTACGGTGGTCTGGGAGTCGTGTACCTTGAGGCTGTGGCACACACCAGGAGGAGTGAGGACACTGAGCAGCAATAGCACTTGGTGGCCCTTTCCTTCATGCTGAACCCCAAGTCTCAGATGTCACAGGTCACACCTCAGAACCCTTTCTCTGAACAAATGAAGCAGACCCTGGCTGAGTGTAGAGAGAGATGACATTGTGGAAGTCCCTGAAATTGCACTGGGGTGCCCGGCAGATGTGCAGAGTATATCACGGAAACAACTCTGTGGATTTGGGGACGTCTCTCTGGAGGGCTCCAGAACACCTTCATAAACAACAAAAATTCAGGCTAGCGTGTGTTTTCCAAATCATCGTTTCCAACCATTTTATCATTTTTAATGAATAATTCCTATATTTCTGGGGCAGAAGGGGATGTTTTGATATATGTATATTATGCAGAATTATTAAATGAAGCTGATGGGTATATCCACGCCCTTGCTTACTTACCACTTTTCATGGTCAAACATTTGAAATTTGGCTCTTAGGTATTTGGAAATGCACAATACAGTCACCCCGCTGTGCCAGAGATCTCAAGATGCATTCCTCCTGTCCATCTTGACCAACATTCCCCCACTCCCTCCCCACCACAGGCCTCTTGTAAAACCTCT